CAACTGGTCAGCTAAAGCTTAAAAGGCAAAAGGAGAGCGTATTAATTGATTTTTTTAAACAAACAACGTATTTTTTGTTCCAAAACAGTAAAATGACTCTTCAAAAACAGGTGACCTAACTGTTGAGTCATTTGGATTATTAGCTCTATCAGTCCCTCCCCTACAGTTTTATTAATATCCTTTCGAGCTTCAGGGCTGTAAAATTGTCTCCCACATAATGCTGTACCTGAGGGCTCTGTTTCTGGCAGTCTCTACTGGGCGCTCTCTACAAACACCATAATGATTTTAAATCCATTCCCAACAGAAAAGCTGCTGCTGGGCTCTTGCATCGTGAATAGGGATGGCTTCTGGGTACGCAGGTGGATTGCGGTGGTGCTCTTGGCTTAGCCTTGAGCAACAGTGTCTCAATGTGGCACTAAAAATGGTCCTGCCTCCTATTGGCGAGCTCACAGCTGTGAGGCCAGTTACATGACAATATTCTCCCTAGATCTGTTTTAGTTTAGCAAATAAATAAATGGAATCTCTTGTTCTCATTTATAAAGTGTGGGTATTTTTTAACCATTATTTCCCACCACTGAGGTATTTAGTATTTTCCAGGTATCTCCCCTTTAACATTGGTGGTTTATGTGTAATTCACAAACTGCAGACTGTCTCCTGGGCTGATGATTGTATTACTGAGAACTGTGTAGAATCACCCAGTAAAAGAAAGGCAGTATTATAAAGAATGATGAGACGCAATCAGTTCAGTTTCAATAGCATTTTCAAACTTAAAAGCAAAGTTACACTCGTGTTTGAATGATTTGAATGCATCTTTTATACTTAATGCTGGAATGTAAATAAATCTGAATGTAAATGATTGAGAACAGACATTTCTATGACTGTGATTTTTTTTATTGTACTTGTGATACTGTTACACTTTGGGTATAATATAGGTGAGTACTGATGTTTGTTATAAATGCATATATTATACAAATCACTGCAAATGTTTGCACAAACAACACCTAATAACAATAATAATAACCACTCTGCACCTGCTGAGAAGTTGCTTTTTTTCATACATGATGCGCTCCAAAGTTCCTTGCACAACAAATGGCTCATTCTAATATTGCACCAACCATTAAGGGTGAAATTAAACTTAATTTGTTGCTATGATATGTGCTCATAAAATGTTATTTTTTTTAACTGTCTTCACACAGTATATCATAATAACGCTTATAAACCTCGGCAGATCACAGCATGGGTCGCCTTGCCTAGTGTGGCAGTGCCGTGGACATCTCTGCTGACATATTCAGTGTGTGTTTCAGTGTTGTAGTAAGTTAGTCATGGTTCTCTTCAGCTTTAGGTTGCTCTACTCGTGCACAAACACACACACAGCCGCTTTTATTTCAAGAATTGTGACACAGTGGCTTTTTAGCGCCAGAACGCAATACTGTAAATCGCAAACAGTGAATAATATTAATGACATTCACTGATCTCTTCTGAGTTCCCCTCTCAGGACAGTCTGACACTCAGTATATTGAGTGCTCATGCTGACATTATTGAATCCTATATTTGCCCTCCTACCGTTACAGGTGCAGTGTACTGGAGCGCAAATATACCACAGGAGCCCCCCCAACAAACAAAACCTGGAATGTAAACAAGCACAGGTTTAGCTCCAAAGTCCTAATAAGGGAATTAGATTAAAAACAGTCAGTATGTTTGTTGTAATTGCCTTGTGCCTGCTGCAGCTATGATTGCATACAGAATGCCTTCAACTCCTGGGAGACTTTGTGGAAATCCTCAAATTATTGAGGTGGAGAATTATACAACAGCTGCTCCGTTTAAAGAGGACGCTTGTCTCTAATAGTGTGCATCTTAATAAGCACAAATAGCTGTGGCACAAAACAGTTCTGTGAAATGTTTCACCCTACAGGGGGTAGCCAAAATAACAAACACTTCATGAGGAAGGAATTTAAATTTGAGTTTAATCAACATTAAAAACAGCTACAGAGCAGCTTTTGGTTTTTTTTAATGCGGCGTATGTCCGTCATCACGCCGCTGTAGGTTTCTGTCAGGCATGTGATCACAGTTTCTCTTTCGTAATTGGAGTTTACCTGTTTTTGGCATACACCTCTGTTATTTGTCTGATTTTAGACTAATTAAATACAATTTTTTTCCTGTTTTTCTTTTTTTTTTTACTAAACGTACAATTTTGACAACCAAGCTGCTGCTTTGCGTTTATAACCTGGTATGACACTGACATCAGCTCTACTTTGGAGCAGCTGTTGTTATACTTGAGCAGAAACCAAAGATGACTGTTGATTGATGAAAAAACAGGAGCTGTCGCTGCCCTATCCCTACTGGAAACCCCCACACTAGTGATGCGCGAATGTTTACTGCTGTACTTAAAATGGTCCAAGGAAGAAACTGAAGCAACTTACACCAGATTCTGATATTAAAATAAAAATGTTATATTTCATTTTACTTGTTTTTTCTCAATAAGAGATGCTTTCCCTTTATTTCAGAATATCTAATACAGTGCACTACATTTAACTACATGGCGCTGAGTGTAATGGGCAACAACAACAAAATAAAACTAGCATTAGTGGCATAATGTAAAAAAAAGTTAGTAAAATACTACATTTTGGGTAATTATTCATTGCAATAAAAAGCATAAAATTAAATTAATGAGATGTAAGTGTTATTAATATTATTTATATATATGTATTATTGAAATTATTATTATTTTAGTGGTTGTGTAACACTCACACTATATGTATTTTTATCAATGAGTATGTCTACATTTTTATTTAAAAAATCAACATATCAGGTGTGGTCTTATTTAAGCTTTCCTGTATAAATTTCTGCATTTAAGAAAAATAATATAACACACACATATGTATGTATATATATATATA